AATCGTCCTTCGCTCGAACTCGAGTCGGATCTTTGCCACGGTGAGGCCGTTCCGTCGTTTTCCATCCGGCACGTAATTTAGGGGCCGCCGAAGCGAAGAGGATTAAAATGCGGTTGCAGACGTGGGGCGATGCCACTCGATGCCACTCGATGCCATTCGATGCCAGGCGAACGGGATAATCCCCCCCCCCCCCCGCGATGCAATTCCCTCGGGAGTCTTAATCCGCCTCTCGGACGAGACGGCTCGCCCAGCCTTTTTCGCGTTCGGGCGATGGCGAGGACCCGTCCCGAGTTTCCCGCCGCTTCGAGTTCCCTCCGCTGGCATTCCGCTGCTTTTCGGTCGAGTCGAATCCACGAATTTTTTTGCCGCGGGATCAGTGGAGTGCGCCCATGCGAAACGTTACCTCCTCCTTCACCCATATTTAGCCGCTTTTTCACCTGACCTTTATCTTAAGGGTCTTCTGACGGCGAGAGAGAGAGAGGGGAAAACGGGGGAAAAACGGGGAATCCCGAATTTTTATTTAAAGCTCCAGGGGGGAAAGGACTCGAGCCTGATCTGGAGAGGAAATAAGAATCGAAGGTGAAGAAGAATCGACGACCGAGTCGGTCTCGTTCCGTGACGACCGAGTCGGTCGCGACTGCGAATCGGTTCCTTCGACGTGAGGTCGAGGTCGTCTCGGGGTCTGTCAGCTTTGGATCGTCTGGCTCGGAAGAGGTCAGTGTGGAAATGTGATTGAGGATCGTGAGACCAGCGATCGGACCGACGAGTCGCGAGACGATTGGGCTTACGAGTCCATTTTATCACAATTTCACCGTGCCGTTATTCCTAGATCTTAACGATGGACCGATCTTAATGATGAACCGATCTTAACGATGGACCGATCTTCATGATGGTCTCGGTGTTCATGATGGTCTCGGTGTTCCACCGTGTGAGGTGAGGATCACGCGAGAGCATTCCCGAGAGAAGAGGTGACCTGTCGGTGACAGAAGGTGAATCACCGGTGAAAAGTAAACGTAAAATGCAGGTAAGAAACGGGAAAAAGGGCGGTAAAATAATGAAGTAAAAACGAAGGTCATCGAGGTCGGAACCACGGGAGCTTCATCGACGAGTTCGGGAAAGCGCGTGACGTCACGCAGATGCCCTCACGAAGTCCGAACTCGCGTGAAAACTCCGAGGCGACGCGAGTCTTCCGCGGGAAGAGCGAAATTCCGGCGTAAAAGAAAAATCCTTTCCTCGAGAAATTTTTGTCTTATCCGCGGCTTCCGAGTCCCCCGCGGGAAATCGCCTCGTCCGAATCCGTTTTCCCTCCGTCCCGCCTTTCCGTCTGGATTCTCTGGCCGCGAACGAACGATCCGCTTCGAAGACAGACGAAGACCGAAGAGACGGAGGAAAGCGGAGGGACCGTCATCGTTTTAGAAACTTTTCCTTTTTTCCTCGTTGGGATTTCCTGCGCGATGGCAGTCCTTCGGGAAGGCACGAGATTCCAACTCCTCCGTTCTGCCGTTACGTCACGTTACGATACGTTACGAGAGGAAGCCCCACGACCAGAAACCACGCAGTTTTTTTCCACTTCTACCCGCGAATGAAAGTAATCGCTCCGGGAGAGGAAATACCCGATGGACGAGAAATGATACAGCTGGGGAAACGGCGGAACGCAATTCGAGGAATTGCCGAGACCTTTCAGATGCGCATCCTCGTGACGTCACAGGTGACGTCACTTGCATGCGTGCATATTCGCGGGAAAATGCGGGTGAAAGAGCGGCAAATGAGGGCGGAGCGGTAAAATGTCCAGGTAAATCCGCAGTGAAAAAGAGGTAAAAAAAAAATATTAAAAATAGGGTAAATTCTTCGTTTTTTTTCAACTCGGTTTCACCGTCACGATTTTGCCTCGAGTGAAAAATTTTCGCGAGGGCGCACTCCAGGAATTTCGTTTCCATTTCGGGATGGCGTGACGTGGCGTCGCGGAATCGCGCGACTCTCGTTTCGTCCGTCGGCGACGGGAAAGAGAATGCGAGGACGAAAGGATCAAAGGACAAAAGGACGAGAGAGAAGAAAGGTCGGCCAACCGACGCGAAAACCGGCTCCCCGTTCCGAGATCCGGCTCAGTCCGGTCGATTCGACCTCGCGAAGTGACGCGACGCCGACGGAGCGTAAACGCGTTTCGAGGACGAACGAGGAGACTTCGCGAGACGCGAAAGCGCAGTCGCGCGGGATCGGCGTCCCCGATCGCTTCCCGCCGGCAACGGGCGCGCGTCGAACGCGCGAACGCTCGTCTGCACGAAATTCGCCATCCTCCCGCCACCGAACGAAACCGAATTTTCCATTCCGGCTAAATTTCCGGTCGATGGAAACTCGACGGCCCACGTGGCATCTCGGCGAAACCCCGGAAATATTCATTATTTATTTTAATTTTTAATCGATCGTTCTCGGCGAAACCCACTTGACCGAACCCCGTCGCGAACGAGCCTCGGCCTTCTACGTCTCGCCCTCGTCGGCCCCGTGAGTCACGAAGCCCCGAGTGAAAGTAACTCCTCCGATTTGCATTTCGATCTCGCCGCCCGCCTTTAAACGACCTTTACGAAGGTTCCCTTCGCCTCGAGGCTTCCCCGATCCGTCTCCGAGGTGAAACGGACTCGAGCGATTCGCGTTTGAACCCTTCCATCGCGTCCGGATTTAAAAGGACTCCATCGATTTCACTCGTCGGCCGGTGAACCCGATGGAATTTCCCACCGATCGAACGACGACGCGAATCCAACTAAATATTTAAAAAACAACGAGAAATCTTTCCCCGATCCGTTTCGCGAAACCGAAAAACTGGAATAGACGAACCTCGGGTCTCCACGGAAACGAATTCCGATCTAACGATGGAAACGCTGCCGTCTAGATGAACCAGACGACGGGGTTGGCCCACCGGCCCGCCCACCGCCTGGCCCGGTGGCTGTGCCTGGCCCTGACCCTCTGGACGACCTCGACCGCCGGGAGTTCCTCCGACCTCTCCTTCCGCTTCTCGCACCACGACAACGAGGAACTCGCGAGGGAATTGTACAAGGTCCATGCGAAGTGTCCGGGGATCTCGAGGATCTACACCCTCTCCGAGACTTCCGTGAACGGCGTCCCGCTCTACGTCGTCGAGATCACCGAGAACCCAGGCGTTCACGTTCCGAGTGAGTCCGTTACCCTCGAGTCCGAGTCCGTAATTCTAATTGCAATTGACCTTATTTTCAGCACATGGTGACTGCCATCAGCGAATTCGTTTTTCATCGTGTTCTCGATGTCGTTTCTAATCCACATCGTATCGACGGAAAATAGGTTCTAGGAATGGACGCGATATGGCGCCTAACCGCCGATTCCACGATTCTTGCCCTGAAACACGCAGTACCCTGCATTTGTGATAACAGTACCCGATCGTTTCCCATTTACGACACGAGGGAAGGCATAGGAATTTCTACATTTCTGTTTGATGAGATGATCCGGCAGAAGGAGGCTCTTCGGCACCGAAAATTCACGCAAGTTCTTCCGATGAAAATGGAGACCGGAAACGTGCCCGTGGGCTTCTTCGACGAACAGAGTGTCGAGTCGCGTCCAAGTACTCGACTCCAATTCTGATTCGGTTAAGGCTTTGGGGGTCCTTCACGTGGGTTCGTTGTATCGTACCATTAGGGTATTCTCCTTGGGGTCATCGAATCTATTTTCGATCTCATCGGCTAATTAACTCTCTTTCAGACCATGGAGAAGGGTTATATAATATAAGGGAGGTTATATGAAATATAATGCCCGTACGTTGAGGATTCCACATCGACACAACGTTACACGGCAACACCTCTTCGACGTTTAACTGTTTCATTTGAACATTGGGGCAACGTCGAGACAACGTATTGAGTTGAAAAATGAACCTTTTCTCAACGTTGACACAACGTTGTTGTGCCGATCGAGAAACCTTCAGTGTTCAACAGCTGCAGGAAATAAGGGAAAACTGAATCAAATTTTTTTACCGAAATGGCACCCGCCGTGTTACGACTGGTTTCGAAGGTGGAGGAGGTCGAAACGAAATTTATAATAATTATTTAAATTATTTATGATAAAAAAGAAGTCCCTTTCTGGAAGAAGCAGGTTCCATTGGTTGACATTCCTATTGGTCGCACCAAACGATCCATCTAAAGATCGTCTCCGGCCGAATAAATGTTCCCTCTTCTAAATTCTACCAAGAATGCGATTTTAACATCTCTAAAACCATGGAAAAAAAAATTGATGGAAACACGGAATGGAATCGACATTACCTGAAGGATCGAAGCGCTCGAAGGCACGACCGATCGACAAGGTGAAACCGCTTGGAGGAAGGAGAACGAATTCTAGAATGAAGGAAACGGATCCCATCTGGATCCCCGAACAATTCCTTTCTTCCCCATTAACCAAGTTTTCACGCCTCGAGGCACAAGTTTTTTTTGCTCTCTCTCTCTCTTTTTCGCGCCGAATTCGCAGTTGTTTTTTTTTTCGGAGGACTTCTCCTCGAGTCGACGAACGCCGCGAAAGCAATCCTCGACCTCTTCCCTCCACAGCGAAGCCCGAGTTCCGTTACATCGGGAACATGCACGGGAACGAAGCGACGGGACGGGAACTCCTCATCAAGCTGGCCCACCACCTCTGCGACGAATACAACGCGGGGAACGAGGCGATCAGGAATCTCGTCGCATCCACCCGCATCCATCTGATCCCGTCGATGAATCCGGACGGATACGCCCTTGCTTATTCCACCGTGAGAACTTCATGAGCCAAGTTTTAAATATTCATTTACTTTAATTGATCTATATGCTTATTTTTGTTTTAACTATTTTAATTAAGCTATATGTTTATTTTAATTATATATAGTAATTAATGTATATTTATATTTTAATTAATTTATATTTATATTTTAATTAATTTATATTTATATTTTAATTAATTTATATTTATATTTTAATTAATTTATATGTATATTTTATTTATTTTAATTAAAATCTTTCAAATAAATATATTTCAATATTTATATTTATTTACTTGCTGCGTTTTAGGGAGGGAGAGGATACCTGACGGGGAGAATGAACAACAACAGCGTGGATCTGAACCGGGATTTCCCCGACCTGGACAGACTCATGTATCGCAACGAGAGGAGACACGACGTGAGGAACAATCACCTCCTGGAGCAGATGAGGACATCCGATCATTTCGTGAGTCGACCTTGGAGTCAGCCGACCTCGGAATGACCCGACCTTGGAGTCCGAAGCTTAAACGAATGCGATCCGAAGGGCTACGCTTCCGTGGAAATGAAGCGGGTGGGGACCGGTGGGGACTGGTGGGGACTTTCACTCGCGTCGGCCCCGTCGGCCCCCGTCGGCCCCTTGTCGGTCCCCCCTAGTCCCCCTTTGAATGCGCTGCGGCTCTACCGGGTGCCCCAAACGGGATGATTCTCTCGATGGGATCATCTTTTCGATCCTCGCTTTTCGTCTCTCGAAATCGCTCGGATAAACGTGGAGTCCACGTGCCACGAAAACCGCGGCTGCTCTCGTCGAGCCACCGCGAATCCACGGAGCGACCCCCCCAAAAATACGCATGCATTTCTTGAATGCGGTTCTACTGAATTGCGTTTCGGCAAAAGCAACCGCCTGCGAGCACATCGAGAATCTTCAAATTTCAAGTCGACTAATTAGTAAATGATATGCGATACGACGAGCGACGTGCAATCAACGAGCATTACGAGTAAAAGTAATTAAAAGCATCACACGGAGAATTTAGAGCCACCCCGTAATTAATCTCCGAAAAAGCGGAGTTTTTCCCCCCGGCGTCTGCCCTCATTATCCGCTCGCCCCCCGGCGTCTGACGTCATCCTCGTCTCGACGTCATGCCAGATCCCCGCTTTGACATCGTGCCAGGTCCCTCGCTTCCCTCTTTCTACACCGACGGGCGTGGCCGACTTCTCGGTTCGTCATTGCGTACCGAAATCGGTCTCATTTTTCTCGGAGCGACGAGGCCATCGAGAGAAATATTGAGAAATCGACGAGCGGAGAGAGAACGAATGAAAAAACAATCATAAGTATAGAGTGGTATGATTTTTTTTTTCACGGTGTATCGCTTGTAATATTTTTAACATATATCAATAATATGTTCTTTGAACGCCGGAACTGTCAGCATGCGAAGTGCAATATTACTCGATGGTCGAGATCGACGTTTAGAGCAAGAATTTTTTTATTAGTGAGAAGCAATCTGAAGGAAGTCGCTCGCTTGCTGCATTTTCGCCAGACACCAAGTTTTCAATGCTGAGACGTCACTGAAACAGCATTCATATAATGGCCTGCAATCATGAGTTTGCAGACCAATATTTGTTTCTTTAGTGGGTGGGAAAATGTTGCAAACGCATTCAATTAAGAAAAAAAACTTGGGGAGAAATAAAGAAATTTCGGATTCCTCAGATCGGATCTCTCGGAAATCCGGCTAAAAGTATCCTGGATTCGCCCCGGACAGGTGCAACCGGAGACGAAGGCCGTGATGGACATGATGTTGGCCATTCCGTTCGTCCTGTCGGCGAATCTTCACAACGGCGCCCTGGTGGCCAACTACCCCTACGACGAATCCCGATCCGGATTGCCTCAGGAATACTCCCGATCGCCGGACGACGAAGTCTTCAGGTCGGTTCCGATCCCGGATCGATCCCGGATCGATCTTTGATCTCGTGTTGATCTCACGGGCGATCGTCGGTGCAGGTTCCTGGCCCGGTCGTACGCGGAGAAGCACCCGGAGATGAGAGATCCCGCTTTCCCCGGCTGCGACGCCGACGACTCCACCTTCGCGAAGAACGGCGGAATCACCAACGGGGCTCAATGGTACAGCGTCTCCGGAGGTGAGTCGAGTTCCCCAAGCCACGTCCTTGCTCGGAGGTCGGTGAGGCACTGGGGTCCACGCGTCGCTTGGAGGTCGATGAGGCATTGCAGGGTTCACGCGTCGTCCGGCCGGACAGGGTCTTTTTTTTTTACACTTGAAAGAAAACAAGAACAGAAAACACAGGGACTGGCCTCCCCTTCGTTTCTCGGCTTCCATAAACAGACGCTAGATGTCTCTTTTCCGCGGATGGAGATCTCGTCCACATTTCCACGCTCCTCGAACAGATAATTCGAGGTAAAAGAGATGACTTGCCTTCGTCTCCACGCGATCTCAATTCCTTGAAGTTGAGTCTGGGAATGCATGGACCCTGCCTTGCCTGCTCTATTGCGTGCTGCCAAGAAATGTTGGGGCAGCATCCCTCCAATTTCAATATACCGTGTCGCTTTCACCTGTCAAGGTTAACACGTAAGATGTCATTTTCAGAGTTCCTCGACCGTATGCAATTATTTTCAGATCCACAAAGTCCCTCCACGAGAGCTCCCTGAATTTTTTGTCTTCTTCAAAATCGGCTTTGAAATCGTTTCATTCCGCCATTCGGTTTGCAAATGCGATACAATTCTGCTTCGGAAACGACGAGCGTTCCATCAATTTATGTATATAAATTGATATAAACCATGAGGTCGAAATGACCGCCATAATGGCTGCTATGCAAGAACGTATAAAACCGATAAAATAATTATTTTTAGGGGTATCATATGATAAGTTTGATAGGTTGGCCGTATGCAGAAACATTTTATGCCTATCATGATAGGGTATAAAAATTGCTTTAATCTATTATGATCCAGAGCTTGTTTATTCTGCTTATAACGAGCTACCAGGGTGGATTGCAGTGCATTTTATTAACCAAATTAATTATGTGAACCGTCACAACTTGTGCTGAGCGCAGTTACTCTGAGATGGATTAAATCTTGTAGAATCTTTGTATAAAGCCACGGCAGTCGGAATCGAAAGCACTAGTCTGGTAAACGGGGTCAGATTAATACCGTTAAATCGTCACACAACACTCTGGTCAGTCATGTGAGCAGATACACATGGCATTCTTCCTGGGCGGGAGACGATGGATACGAGGTTGTCATCAGGAAGACTCATGAATACCTATCATGATAGGTATGAAGATACCTGACATAATAGGTATGAAGATACCTATCATAATAGGCCTCACGATGTATACCTATAATTTGTTCTTGCATACGGAACTGAGCAAATAATAGATCTATTGCCTGATACCTATCATGATAGCTACCATGTATTAATAATAGACTATCAAGTGATGAGATCTTGCATACGGGCCAATATGTATTCCATTCGACCTTAAGGTGCGTGCGTTCGACTCGACCTTCAGTTGTTCGGGTTTTGCCGTTTTACCCTAATATTAACCAAATTTGTGACCCTGGCAACCAATTAGTTGTCCAATTACGGTTGATATCGTCACGAAAAAAATCACGAAAAAGCGACACAGGACCTAAGAAGGTCGATATCATCACTCTGGTTTCGATTCAAAGCCAAGATTTTCAATGCTCTGGGAGATTTCATCGAAAGTTTTATTTTTAAAATCCTTCCTTTGCGAAATTTCTTTCATCGCCTATGCAAGAAAACTTTCTGGCGTGGACGAGGCCAAAACGATTTCGGGTTCATTGAGTTTTTAGGAAATACACCAGTCGCAATCGAAACTGGAGTCGGGCGACCTCTACGAAATTCAGCAGACGAACTCATAGCAGTGTGTGCTGAAATCGATTTCAGTTCCGAGGGAAGAAGATGAGGATTCTTGACAGAGTAAACCAGCCGAACGCTCTTAAGCAAAGGAGAGTGTGGAGTCCTACTGATTAGCAGCGTTTCTTGTCGAGAGTCCACTAATAACATATGGAACAGGAACTCTTATTTGCACATAGAAAAATGGAAGTTTCAAGGTTGTTAGGGATACAGTAAAAAATTAGCTGACCGCAAAGGTAATGCGGAAAGAGACTCCGCCAATCCTTTTCTCTCAAGCCACCTCTCGGTTCCACAATTCTCAAGTGTGAACTGCGATCCGTGTATTTCATTAAGACCAGGTCTTCCATAAGTAGTTTCATCGTAGTTCACGGCAGATAGCATTAACTTCAGGAATGGAACTCTTTGAGGAATGGATTTTTTTTTTTTTTGCCTGGAAAGCGAAAGCATCCCAAAGATGAGCCTTGCAAATGCAGATCGCAAAGCATCGAGTAGACACGATCTATTATACTTCTTGGAACACGGAAGCGAATCCGCAGCTTTTTTATCACGACCGAGAAAGCGACCCCCCTAGGAGTTTCATAAGCGAAGTTGTTGCAGTGTCACGTCGTTGTGGATCTGCGTCAGAAAGAGCCTGAAATAACCGGTAACGGAGTTTCTCTCAGGCCTGTAAACACTCCATTCCTCCAATTGGTCCAATAACGATTCCATGTTGAATATTGCCGATATATTTGAATTGCATGCCCCAGTTTCATGACTTTTAGTCATTCAGGTAGCCTTTCTTCATTTATGCAAAAAATCGCGACCGTATATTTAGATGCTGAGAATTCTGACGAAGAGTCAAAATGTGGTCCGGTATTTGCAGGGATGCAAGACTTCAACTACCTGGCGACGAATGACTTCGAGATCACTTTGGAATTGGGCTGCGAGAAGTTCCCAGACCCAGCCACCCTCGAGAAGCAGTGGAATGACAACAAGGACGCCCTCATCAACTTCATCGCCATGGTCTGCTCTTCGTCTCGAGCCTTCATTTCTTGCATTGGGGAAGGGGAAAGGGAAAAGCCCTCCAACATACTTTCCCATTTAAGCCTATTTAAAATATATATTTAAAAAACGATGACGATTATTTAGAACGGATTTTATTGACGACAACTAAAAAATATCTGGGGTTCGATGTTTACGTTATTTCGTCTGTCTCGAGTCTTCATTGTGAGTTCATCTGAATTGAATTTTTTCCTTGGTACAGAGCCACATGGGAGTGAAGGGGCTCGTGAGGGATGCATTGACGGGTGAAGGAATTCCGGGAGCCACGATCATGGTCAAGAATATCACCAAGGTCAACAGCTCCTTCGCCAGGAACGAAGACATCCTCCACGACATCTCCACCGGTAAACAAAGATTTTAAAATGACCCGAACGGTCCTCAGAGAGGAGAAACGATGACCCGATGACGATGATGATTCTATTACGACCGGCAGGGCTGGACGGTGACTATTATCGTCTGCTGACGCCGGGAGAGTACGAGATCACGGTCTCCGCCAACGGGTACATGGACGAAAGAGAAAAGGTGATCGTGGGACATCCCTCGGTTGAGAAAGGCGCGATCAGAGTGGACTTCTGGCTCCCCGTGGCCCCCCTCATGCCCTCGCAACGCCGCTTCCCGAAACCATGGGTAAGCCCAGCGCCTCGATATCGCCGTCGTTTCGACACGGTGGAGTCCTTTCACGTGAGATCTCTGTTTCAGATCTTCAACGCCCTGGAGGAAATCACCGGGGAGTGGCCGCGCTTCGAGAGGAGGAGGAAGAAGAGATCCCCACTGATTTAAATGTGTTCCCTGGATTCCCAAAAGAAAAATAGGAGAAAGCAGTAAAAAAAAAAAACAATCATAAACATAAGCGTCAGATGCGAAAAGACCTACCTCATTTGAATTCAGTTCAAATCAGCTCGAGAATTTTAAATTCTATGACCACGACTACGTATTTTGTTCTCCCCGGGATTGGCTATTTGGAATGTGTATGAAATGCAAGCATCTCAACCGAAGTCTATCTTTTAAATCCGGAGACCAAGTTTTTTTGGCGAATGTTTTTGAAAAACTGCATGATGTGTCTCTACACGCAAATTGGGACACGAGAAAAATCACCAACCACCCATGAAAATTTCAATGAATGCGTTTTTTCTTCTGGAGGAAAAAATTTTTTTTTTATCCAAACCAAGAAATGAAATTATCGTGTTTTCTGGTTGAAGTCTGCTTCCGGAATGTGTGCAAAATTTTGGCTCAAGATGGGCTTCTTGTTTCGTATGCTTAAAGGGAAAAAGAGCACGTTTTTCATCCGAGAATAGCTCGATACGTAAAGGTCGCAGCATGATCATATGCGGCTTGCGAATTTGATCCACAAAAATGAGACATCAACGAGAAATTGATCTTCAGTGGCACCATTAATTCAATTTATTATTCAAGGCATTAATTCAATGACGGGGAATTCCCTTTTTGAATCTCTCGCCCAACCGTTTGTCTGCCGATGAATTAGCAAAGAAAGGGTTTACGGATTTAAAAAATAGCCTTCAGGTTGGAGCTTGGATGAGCTGCTTCTTCCGCGCACTAAATAGCGTCCAAAAAAAAGGATTTTGCAGATGCTTAAAAAATCATTTTTGCTTTGATCCCGCAGTGAGCAGTCACCAGCGAGTTCCCAAATAGCCTTTCAAGCAACAACAGTGAGTCACAAGTCGCTGTAACGTCGCAGCTACATTATTTCAGGAATCACTTTCGCTTCTTTGAGTGGGTCTGTGTCCTTTTTTCTGTCCTGATTTAATTCAAATATTTCCTCTCAGATTTAGATGTTATATTGAAGATATTATTATTATGGGATGGGTTGTGCTGTGTCATACGCGTCATCGAGGCAAATGGAGTGTTGAAAGGGGATTGAAGCTACGTCACATTGCAAAAACGATACTGCAATATTCCGAAGTGCTTTTGACTAGAGTCGCGGGACCAGAACGCACTCCATTTGCCTTAACCCTTTCGTGCGTGAATTTTTAAAGCAAAACAAAAATATGCTTTTTTTGCTTTAATGTTTGAGACGGTAGTCAGCCGTTAGAAGACAACACTGAACAGATGATGCGCCTGGAGTGGACTGCATAAAGTTTCGAGCCATGTGCACCGTGGCTGAAAAAACCAACACCAGAACCAAAATCAGACGTGGAGATCATGCACGAAAGGGTTAAAGCGTCTCGTTTGCTTCTTACTCTTGATGTATGGTAGACCTTACGTGTACTCTCTTCTTCAAACATATCTTCCTTGTGTCCCCTCTTCCCTTCAAGATGGGTAACCGGATTGTGTTGGTGGAGATGGAACCGAATAGTATTATTTTTTTATGCGATTCGTGATAAACTCGAGCGGGGTCTCGAGGAGCTTGGCAGCCATACTTGCAGAAGCATTCCAAATATATATACTACTCACGACTTCGCGGCCAGCAGAATCATTCGCATTCAGACAAAGAAGTATTCTTGAACTTGGTTTAAAACTTTGACGCGAATGTGGATCGGAATAAAAAGGAATACTTATCCCTGTACCCCAGAATTTTCTCTTCGTAGTCGGAAACTTTTGAAAGTAAAGTTAGACAAATTTTCATTTCACTGTATATTCAACGAAAATGCATATTATTTAAAATTATATCCGCTCTAAGTTCTAATTGTGTAAATCATAAGCATAGAACACTTTTTACAACTCGGCAAGTAAGGGTGCATTTTTTTCTTAATCACAGTCAATGCAAAGAACGAAGACACTGGCATATTTTTTCCTATCACAGCCATATCGAGAAGGAGCAAGGTGGAATTCCCGCTTCGAAGAACTCTGAGTAGGAGTATAGGGTGATCCGAATGTCTGAAAACACATTTAGGGACTCATCCTCAAAATATCACTTACAGTGGACAAAATCAGTAGTCAGCAAAATCAACATTTAAAAATCAACACCGAACAGTTATATTCTTACATTACATAGAATTAGATATTCGTGCAAAAGATTTGGGAATAAGTTTCGGGCATACGTTTCTGGCTAAAGTCAGCAACTTTTCGAAACTTTTCGTGAATTCCATGAGTTTCTTAGGCAGCTAATCGGACCTGTAAGTAGCAGTTTCCGTTACTAGCTCCACCAATTACATGCCAGTCATCACAGAATATTGGTATCAACATAAAAAAATTAAAGAAACGACGTCACGAAGGCGAAAGTTGAGGGGGAAAGCCTCTGAAATGAATCTGAGAGGCTTGAAAAAGCGTTTTCAGGCGCTTGAGTCGCCCTGACAATTAAACCCGAGTCCCAATGGACGAACGTGACTTAGTTTTCATGCATTTGAAGGATCATGACAACGTAGCGACCCTTCCATTTCGGGTGCCATCTAATCTGAATGAGACGTGCCGTCTTTGAGACGGGCCAATCACAGCGTGATGTCACAGATGGGAACTGCCACACCTCGGTCACCTCACAGATGGAGAACACGTGACCAAACCCCGTTCCTTTATTGTCTGTCGTACTGCTCGGCAGTTACTGAGATCGATCCAGTGTGAATCTGGTCTCCATACAAGAGAGGCCTAGTGACGCATCCATTCTGTGTTTCTCTCAACGTCAGACTTGTCTGGGGAGCTGGAATGGGGCGGGAGGGCGTCGAAGGGCATTTTTCAACCTCTCCCAAAACAACTTCTCCTGTCCTGGGTCCTGATCGTCCTTCCATTCCAGGTAGATGCGGGTCTTCATCAAGAGCCTGAGGGTGGGGCTGATCCGCTCTTTCTGGATCTCCCCGTATTTGATTAGAATCAACCCTTCCCGTTTCTCCCGGAAGAGTTGATGTTGGGCCATGTGTAACTCCCACGTACACCATTGACTCGAGACGAAATTCTCCGACAGGATCATGATCGTGGTTCGACTCGTATCGATGCCCTGGATTATGCACTCGTTCAGCACGCCTCCGACCTGGACAAGAGAAGGAAACATGAAATGGGACCCAACCTACAGAAAGTAATATTTTTCATGAGACTACGACATTTGCAGTCATGTCAGGTTATGCTTTTCCTTTTCGTGTTTTATTACAAGGAAAGACACGCCAAATCAATAAAGGCGATTTTACCACCTCGAGGCATGCACAGTATGGCCAAAAAGTCAGTTGCCTGAAATTAATGTTTGCAACCTCGGTGTAATCCGCACAACAATCCTTTAATAACTGAAACAAATGTTCAAATTGACACCCTTTGATTCTACGCACCTCAGGAACTTTTATGGATTGGATTAGCTGGGGATCCGGCATTACGTTCGGTCCAATTTCAATTGCAATCATGGTGAAAATTTTAAGCTCAATCGAAGCATGGTCTTTCTGGCCAACACCAGAGATTTCCATTCTCGTTGACGCCAAAAATCACGCTGTTCTTTTGCAAGTGTATGCGCCATTATTAAAAATACGTTCAATCTGCATGGACAAGAAAGGGGCAAGGACAACTCACTTTTGGACCACCCTGTATTTCCACCACTAGCTACAAGCTTTCCATGCATTCCCTTCCTCTCGCACTGCGACTAGTTATATTTGCCCGATGCTCAAAACCCATTCAGATCACGAGTCGGGAGGGAAAAAAAATAATAATTTCGCTGTTTCGCTTTTTAGGATTTGCCTAAGAAACGGAATAAAAAGAATTATGGAAAGAGGGATGGAACGTGTGGGCGGAAAACCCTTACGCAGAGATGTCGTCAGGCAATCATCATAGACACGGAGAAATGAAAAAATCCCCAGGGATTCTTAAGAAACGGATGATGAACGCATGGCCTTGGGCTCATTACAATCAGGGACTCATGGTTGTCAGCGCCGCGGGAATTCTGCACACTTTCAGTTAAACAGGCTTAGGATAGCTTATCAATGAGGATGAGGTTCCTGGAAGCCCACTATCAACGGAAGCCGGAAGAGGGCGTAAGCATCCCATCCTAGTTACCTAGGCGTACATGGTGTACATGGTCATAGTCACCATTCCATGAAATCCATGCTATTCGTGATGGGATGTACTGTACCAAGATGGAATGCGCAGGCAAAAAGCATCTAACGCAGGAACGTTGTCATACAACCTTTATAGATGCCTTTAAAAAAATATGACAGAGCTTAGTCCGATACTTCTTTGGTGGTAAGAAATTTATCTTCTCAAATGCAGCAATATCTTACTGCCTTATTTTTAAGGCTTAATGAAGGTTTCTTCCTCTTCGAATAGGCATCTCGACATCGCAAATCCACGCGTAATAATCACAGCTCGAAATATTGCGAAATGAATGTTTCTTTCTCATTCGTCTGGTAGTTACCACTATCGAACAATTTTCGAGGCGCCCCAAATGTAATAGGCTCACTCGTACTCTCCTTCTCTTTAACATGAACCATCATCATGCCATTTCACTTCATCCGAATAAAACGGCAAAAAGCGATGGAGAATCAGAATATTCAAACGAAATCCAGAGATAATTGTGAAGGCAATGAAAGGAACTGGATATTAGAGACGACGGGAGAGGAAATGTTTGCTCTCAATATGGCTTCCTTCCATCCCTTTTTGAAATTGAAATTAACAATTTCGTTCCGGAAAGAGTGACAAACGTTTTTTGGAGGTCTGCAAAAAAAAGTTTATAACTTCGGAACGCAAAATGTTTGACTTGCTTGGAGTGAGGGGGGGGGAGGGGGAATCCAGGAAATCCTTCCTCTTGCAATCAGTTTTGAAATATAATTCTGGGTCTGATTGGAGGATTGAAGCCGCATCCATTCATGCAACAAGCACAAGATTTACAGGTACCTCGTTTACCTACTTAGCTACTTTTAATTTTTGAATTTGCATTCTATTGGAGGAACCTAACTCAAAAATTGAAAAATCTAGATTGAAGGAGCAGTTAAATTGAAAGTTGATTGTGGTGCTGAAGTGCTGGGAATTTCCCTTTAGACTTCAAGGAAATACCCGAGCTTCAGTTGGCTATAGTACTAATCGCCTTTAGTAAGTGGTTACAGTTCCTTCATTCCAAGGGTCGTTCAGTAATTCTATTGGAGCATGAAGGTCACTTGAAAGTTCTACAGAGAATAATAATAAAAATTCCCGACCGCTCCTGATGTCCACAGAGGTCAAATAGACAAAGAACACGTCTCGTCGACTGACATGGGTTTTCCGGAAGAGAAACAGGTTTTTGGGGTTTCAATGAGAGTCACGTTCCTTGTCCCAAACATCGTCGAGGAATCGTGACGTAAGACTCTGGGTACACTGCATTCGGTGTAAAATCGATTCTCAGCTTCAATGACCAGGTTCGTAGAAACAACAGCAAAATTTAATAAATAAATTTACGTACGTATTCGTGAAACGGAGTCTCATGGCAAGATATGCAAAGGGATTGACAGGATTCCTTGATTTTGCAAGGGGAATTGGTTTCCTCCTGAGTTTTATTTTTCAAGGGGAGGAAACGGTGATAAGGTGAGTCGTTTCTTGAAGCTGCATTTCATTTCCTGCAATTTCATCATTGTTACGTTGAGATGAGAAAAGCGAAGGCGGGATGAAATTTCTATCGAGAGACGATAGACTTCGGAAGAGAGACGGAATGAGTCATGCACCCTGAGGGAGACCTAAGAATGAAGAGCAACGACTTCACTCGGGGGATTCCCAAGTAAGGGCGCAGACAGAATATTGGTAACACGTCGGTCGGGGGATCCCCAAACACATGCACAGATAGAATACAGGAGCATATTACGTCAATCGGGGCATCCCCAAGCACATTCACAGACGGGATATTGATGGCACGTCACGCTCTGTCGACACCAGATGTCTTGCAGGTTGAGAAATGAAACCGAATTCCCCCAGGGAGAGCTCTCTTTGTCAGCGTTCCATACGACTTTAATTGTCATCGATGAGGTGCTGAGTACCCAGTGAACGTTTCAAACTGATCCAAGGGTAGCGAACTGATTTCATGGAAACTCGCTCTATTAGATTTTTTTTGCAAGTCTTTCCTTGAGAAAGAAATGAGGTTCCTGATGCAATCGCCCGGATGCATGTGTCTATACCCTATAGCCTCGAAAACATGGCGTGTCTCTCTCGTCAACGTTTCCAAGAATGCTGTTGCTTCGAACGTCTTCAAAATTTTCAAAGGAACGAATGAGGCAAAGCTTCACCAGTTGGCATTTAGAACTAATTCATGTCAACAATGAATGCTTCACAAAATAATTTTGAAAGACGTAAACTGTCCCAGAGCCTCCAGGTAAAGTCGATGGTGGTCTCTCTACACCAACCACTACCACCGCCAACCCTCCACAAATTATTTTCTGGAGGCATTCTCTCTTAGCCCCTCATTTCTCATAGCTACCTCTTTTTTTTCATCTCTAGGAGCTAAAAGGCCTGTACTTCATCCAGACTCTTTCCCGAGCCTTTCTTCCCCCCCCCCCCCCCCATCTGATTGGCAAAACAGGATTAAAAAATTAATAGAGGACGACTTCCCTTTTTTCCCTTACGCGATTCTTGTTCCAGTGCTCGAGGATGTGAAGACAAGAGTTAGCCATGGTGCCAAATGTATTATACCAGACCGCAGATTATGTTCAAACTTCAGTGAATATCTTGCACTATTATTTTTAAGAAAAAAGGAGTGGGGAGGAGGTGACGATCGAGCTGATCCTAGATGGACTAAAGCAGATTTAATTTGATTTGAGAAAGTGATTCACAAGTGAATCCATGCAAGACAGATCGAATTACGGAAACAAATATTCAAAATATTCTTTCCTCAGAATCCCATCCTTCTCTCCATGCGGTTTCAGTATGCAAGGCACATATGTCATATCTATATCCCGATGAAAAGGAAGTGGAACGCTTTTATCTATTTGTGGACCAATGCAATTTTTTGCTAATAAATTCTCTATAAATAGGAGTCATACTATTGATACTACTTTCACCATGATGGAGACCGGAGAAGATCCGGTCAAAGCGAAGACTTTGCAAATGATTTTCCCAATGTCTACATTCCCACTTTCAAGGATGTAGCCAGGATTTTGCCTGTGGGGGGCTAAGGGAACCGAGAGGGGGCTAGAATTCTCCTAACTTCTCCTCGGCGCCGGGCTTGATGGGGGGGATGCAGTTAACCAGAGTTGACAGAACTTAGGGAGGCTGGAACCAAACTTTCGGGAACTGAAGCCCTTTTCAGCCACTCCCCCCTACTGCCCACGTTATTTCTCTTCCATCAGCTGGAATCAGCTCCCATCAGCTCATATGTAATTATGTAATTAACTCAAGGAAACCCTCCACTGGACGGAGATTTTCCCAGACTGTCCAAATTTTGAATTCCATTTTCCAGGTAATGACATGTTATTGGGAGCAACCAACCTCATATTGGACTCTTCACAAGCGTAGCTTACAAACTTCGCTTGTGGCAGCTACATTTAAGAATGGGGAGGCGTCGAAGGCGAGAAGTACGTTACGTAATGCCTTCCCCCCAAAAAAAAAAAAATTAATTAATTAATAGAAATTAATATCTGGCAAAAACTGACTCAAGGCTTCCGTGACAATGGTTGCATAGAAAATAAACAAGAGTCCAGCACATATTTACAACTAGCTTCATATTCGGCGATATTTAGCAATAATTGCCTGTAACAACTACAGTCGGTCTTATGGCATCTTTTTTTTCTGACTGCAGAATAATGACCACCACCAAACTTATCCTGGATGAAGAGCACGCCCTCAAAAATGCCCACGTCCGTTTTCAGAATAGGAACTGGATCAGTGAAGGCTGAGAAACGAGGACTCTTTATGTGGTGGTCTCCACGAAAAACCTTACAAAAATAATTCCGTGTCCCCTCACTTTCTCCATTGTTTTGCCACTAAGGCGAAGCTAGTGAATCAGAAACAGAAATAAGACAAAGGAAGAAAGAAGACAAGTTACAAAAATCAAATTCTTGAACTAAATGTCAAGTATTTCACTAAAACTTGAAATCTGAAAGAAAGAAGGGTTAGTCCGCAGAGATGCCCAACTTTCGGAGACTAACTGAGTATATAGATCTATCTTTTCTGATTATATGTACGTGATCGCGAATTCACAGACTATTCTTTTATGTTCAGCAACTTGGAAACCCGAATCACGTTAATTTTCGCTATACCATCCAAATTATGAGAAAATATTATATTTATTACTGGCAAGCATTGCTAAATTCAAGGTGAGGATCGAGGATTTTCAGTTTGGCGCAATATATTGACATGTGTGCTGTAATAAATACAATGACTCAAAGATATTTTCCAGATACCTCACCCAAGTTATACATCTCTTCCGTCACTGACAGTCGATAAACCGGTCTTAGAGGCCCATGGTAAAGCACAGATGATAAAAAAGTAGGCTACTACCTGGAAATCTCGTTCGTAGATGCAAAGCTTGAAAGCCGGAGGCTCCTTTTCCAAGGTAGACGTGAGCCGTTGCACGAATTCCCTGTCTTCGTTGCTGTACGAGATGAAGGCGTCGTATTCGTAGTTGGAATACCCATTCTCTTCCGCCAGAAACCTCCGCCTCCTGTTCCGGTGACTCCGAGCCAGATGAAGATAATAGAGGAGGTAGTACCGATTGCGGAAGAGGAGGAAGCCGAGGAGGGTGAGAAGAACGATGCACAGCACCACCGGCATCCCGATTACCAGCCAGGGACTGGCAGGGATGCAATCCTCAGGACTCAGTCCCAATTCCAGCAACTGTTCACCCCTCTTCCATTCCGGCAGGTGACACAAATAACTGTCAAACACGAACGCGCCCTCATTCTCGTGCGATAGGGAATAATGCTAAATTAATATTTAAATTGATAGGCAACAATTACGGTATGAAAATGTGTCTACTTAGAATTCCGAAATTCCAAAAAATTTTCATAAAGTTTCACCGAATCATTACCACATTCCACAAACTAGATTTACGTCTAAACTTTTAGTTATATGATGCTGCTCTACGGGCTGCAAAGCAGCATCTGATATCTAAGGCACGAAGCAGCAGGACTTCAAGCCTTTCAGGTCTGGAATTTCATTTTTGGGAGGGATAGAGGGATTTCAATACCATCCCCGAAATTCCGTCCCATACCCAAGAGAACCTGAATCAATGAAAATATTAAATAAATCCGACAAACTTTCAATCTGATAGTGCCGATATCGCTAAATGGAACAACAGACTAACTTCTCCGTGTGAAGCGACTGAGATTTATTTTGGACCTTCTCCTCAAGATGCGCGACGAAGTCGGCGACGCCACAGTCGCACTGGAAGGGATTGTCGCTAAGGTCCAAGTCCCGCACCGAATTGAAGTCCTCGAGCATGGCTGGGGTGACTGTCGTGATCTTGTTGTTTTTCAGCAAGAGAGAATCGAGGGGGAAGCGGAACGCGCGCTCATTCCACGACGAGATGGTGTTGTGAGACAGATCCAGGCTGCGGAGGTCGTGCGACTCGCGGAACACGATCGGGGAGATTTGAGCAACCTTGTTGAATGCCAGGCTCGCCTGACGAAGTCGAGGCAGGGACTCGTACACGGAACGATTGTGGACCAAGTTCACGTTGCAGTTCTCCATCACCAGAGTATCCAGGCTATCCAGGCCGTGAAACAGATTCGGGTTTCCCTGCATATGGATGCAGACGTATCACTTTTCGACCTTCCCTTATATACACTCGACCCCAGAAATCAGAACCATTCGGGATTTGAGACAACAGGGAGGAATTCAACTCCATGACGGTATACTCAAATGAGGTCCATGAAAAACCACAACCTGCTGATTCCACTGCACAAGGTAATAGAAAGAGATTTTTTTTTTCGTAACTTTTGCTCCAATAAGGTATAGAAACTCCTTTCTAGCAACTTTTAAAGCCATTTTCATGGAGTTTTTTTTTCCACTCCAAAAATCTGCACTGTCGTCTTTAAATTTGACTTCTGGAGATTTTCCTCGGAGTAGCAAGTAAAGGGGGAAACTTGCCTGGATGACAGACGAGAGGTCGTTTCCGGACAGCCCGAGGAACTTGAGGGAGCCGAGCGGAAGGAAGACGCCTTCGTCGATGAGTTCGATCTCGTTGTTCTCCAACCCCAGGGTCTCCAGGGAAGACAGCCCGGCGAAGGCATCTCGATGAATCCTCAGAATGTAATTCTTGGACAAGTCGAGCTGTTTGAGGTGGGAGGTGTTGAGGAACCGATTGCGACCGACGTCGAACGAGGCCTTCACCTTTTCCCCTCCACTGTTCCCCGAAATGTTCAGGAATTCCAGGGTGGGGACCAAGACGGCCTGAGGGACGCCTGTCAGGCGATTCCCCGACAGATCCAAATGTCTCAGATTCGTCACATTATCGAACGTCCCGTCTTCGATGAACAACAACTTCACCTGCAGCACCCAAACGATCTCATCCATCAATGCAAAATCGCATTCTGTTATCACGTAGTCTTCTCTACGTGGCAGTAGTCACCTTTTGGAGGTAAAGTTCCTCGAGAAGCGGCATATGAGGAAACGTGTGGTTCTGCAGGTTCAGGTAATAGTTGTCCTGGGCCCACAGCTTCCGGATCTGTGTCTCTGATCACATGCGGAAAAGTTACAATGCTAAGGAGAGTAATGAGGAAAAAAGAGAACTGCTTGGAAAAGAAATATCCGCATGAATCGTTGAATGTAGAGACTCGTCATTTCCTTCAATATATTCAATAGAAACATGAGAGATGAGTATGTCCCAATTAGAAAGCGATTGCGCCAAAAGAGATATCTGATTTTTCCGGACATTTTCAGCAAAACTCCCCACCTAATGCTTATTTCTCATCTTGTGGATTTGATAAATCTCTACTTGATGAACTCCCTAGTCCCAGTCTTCCTACTTTCTCACTCTCCCCAATCCCATATGTACACCGGTGGAGTCATGTCTTACACATCCGTTTTCCAACGGGGCTGAGTACATTATTTCCGTACTCGAACGAGGCAAGTGCATTTCCACCAGTGCAACCAACTTGCACTGTTCTCGATCGCAGTGCAACTGCTCCTCTTGAACACGACTGCACTCACACGTTCCGATTGATTCCGGAGTTTGTTTCTCACTACGAATCACTTGATGAGTCTGCTTTTTTTGTACAGTCATCAGTCAGTCTTTACCTTGCCAGCAAATAGTAAGAGAAAAAATGAGTGCTTATCGAAATGGGTCGAAGTGTGTGTAGATGCGGCAGGTGTAGGCACTTTTTGCTTCCCGCTCATTTAGAATGAAATTTTCTGTTTAAAGCAGCTCGACCTGGATGTGGAGCGAAGACTTGAACGGTTCCCTTGGCAGAAATTTTGTAAATTTTCAGATAAGTTCAATGCGACCCACTCGAGGTGGACCAAAGTGTCCGTGTGACCCTTACCTCAAAAAGTAAGGGGACCACTGCTCTACATTCTCTCCCTGTCCTTTTTCGATCTGACTTCGGATTCTTGGAAAACCCCGGCGCGCGGGGTTTTCCTTTGGTATAGCATTTATCCACCAGTAAAAACAAAACTACTTTCTCTTCTCTTCTCTTGAGGTTCAAGTTCCCCCCAAGTGGGAATTTCCCCCGTTGTGAGAATGACGCTCAATGCAAATAAAATCTGTTACCGTTCCAACTATGTACACTTTAACAGCACTCCCAAAGAGGGTGTCTAAGATTACGATTCCACTTTCCATATTTCTTTTCCAAGCAATGAATGAAGAATGACAGACTGGAGACAGAAGCCATGATCCCGGGTAGAACTTCCCCCGTCAGCGACATGGACGAAATATCAAACCCAAACACCGTTGAAGGGAGATTCTCGATCACCTTCATGAGGTTATCCTGATCGAGGAAAAAGGGAAAGCAATGACAGAGCGATCTGAAACGGAAACTATACCGTATCTCAAAAAAGTATGCCACTTTATTTAAAAAAATTATATTTCCATTTAATATCATGAAAGTCCCATGCATTTTTGCACGTGGCATTTCAGGTGAATAAGAAAGATTCCCGCCAAGTTTTAAAACATCTCAACCAGTGATTCAAATGCAATAGCTTTTCAAAGTTGATGTATCGAAAAATAGCAGCGAGCAACCAATCTGCTCAATGCTCCTGGCCAGACAACCCTTCCACGAGCTCCAACATCACTGAACACAGGTAGCAGACAGTCCCAGTGAGGAACCTGGTTTTGATACTTCTTAACTTGCGTTATCAAAATTAATTTGCATTCGGGTTGCGTATTTAATATTTTATTATCATTTGCTGTACACCTAAGGCAAAACTCTCCATTATTATTTTTGTGACGTCATGAATCATAGTATTACAAATTACGAAGAACGTCATGGAATTCAGGGAAGAGGACAAGCACTTGAGTAAAGGCTTGTGAGACGAAGGGCTGCAGTTCTGATAGGTTCATTGAGGAAATCCATGGCTGGCAACATCACAGTCGTTAAAAAAAATTGCTGAGACTGTATTGACTGAAACAATGTGGAAGTGGCAGGTGACACTCAACTTGGACTGTGAAAATGTCAAGGCTTTAGAAGAATCTATTCTGTCAAGAACAGAGCTTGGGTTCGTGCGGAAGGCGAATATTTTTAGTACGAACTTTAAGTTGTTAAGGTTGGCTGGCAAAATTTTGAAAGAAATCTTTCTTCTTCAACTGATTTGTCGAGTGCAAAAGGGCATAAGGCTCATGACATATTGGAAGGATATATTTTTTAATTTCAAATAAACTGCCAGTCATTAATAATAAAAATTCAAAGGAGTTGTGATTTCACATGATAAAAGAGATTTATCTGAACCAATTCTATTGCCAGGACTACCTGCTGCCAGAGCCGTCGTTTTGGTGCATGCCAACGTGATGCACCTGTCAAAATCGAATGCGTGCATTGCTCGTTCACTGTGATTTTTTATGCTTCAACTTTGAAAAGTTATTGCATTTGAAGCACTAGGTGAAATTATTTTATACTTGACAGGAATCTTTCTTATTCACCTGAAAAGCCTTGTGCAAAAATGCATGAGTCTTGCATGATGTCAGATGGAGATATTCAAAGGCATACTTTTTTTTTTAGAGACACAGTGTACGCAATATTTCTTTCGGAACTATGAAGTTCAATTAAACGAACTTAGCACTTTCAGTCACGTGTACCATTAATCCATCCCGAGGGTTACCTCAGATAGGGATGAGATGTACAGGGTGTCTCTAAAGTCACTTGGGGATTTCAACTGTATGTAACCCACAAAAGAAATGCTATAATTTTATGCAACAAACGGTATTTCATCAAAAGAATATATAAGTTTCTGCTTACTGCACTCCGCAAGTGCTCCATCATCTTCTCCAATGCACAGTCAAATGTGGCAAGCAGAAGCTATCTATCGGTAGAACAACGTTCGTAGAAAGAACTTCCCACATTACTTATGAGTTATATGCATTTGAAATTCCAAGTGACATTACAGACTCCCAGCACTATAGGAAATATAGCTTGAGCTAAAGAAGAGTGACTACTCCACGTACACGATTGACAATAGGGCAGAAACACAGCATTAATGTCTGCTGGCTTTTCATTCACTGCTCTTTCGTCAGTTTAATGTGACAAATGCGAATACGAGTCTGGAGGTTGCAGGCTGCACCTGCTTGTATTTTTTAGTTAGGGATCCTAACGGCACGATGCTAGTTTTTGTTCCCGTAATTCTTCCTATATTCTTCGTTCTTTTTTTTCGTACCGAGGCATCACCATAAGCAGTATGTACCGACAAGTACACGAAGAATGGACATCAGCAGAGATAATAATAAAAACTGGTACAACCATCAATGCCACGAGTGATTGATTACCAGTGAGGTAAAATAAACAAGCCGGCGGGAGAGACGCTACAAAGGCAAACGCATTCCATTTCTTCAAATGGAGAAAATACCAGCTCAGCGAAGGCATCAATGACGTGGACGAGGGGCCATCAAAAAGGTTGTAGACTTAACTGTCGCGTGGCTTATCCGTCAAATATATCCTAGTGCAATTGATATTGCTTAGTCAGTTGCCTATCCCTGGTTATTGTACCAAAGTTGGAGGCCGCGGGTAAAGGCAAAACGTACAACATTATCAAAAACCGATATAATTATCTTGTTTTCAGTGGAATGAATAAATTGTTTTAAATGCGTCGACGATGCGAGATTCATTTTTGCTTTTTTTTTTAGGAAAAGCGCCATGGAAACGTTAGATATGATCGGTTTTCAAGAGTCCTAAGTGCTTTTCTGAAGGAGGGAGAGAATTTGGTGATGATCCACACTCTGGAAGGCCTTCAACACCAGAGAAAGCGAAAGCATTGCGACCGTTCGTGCATTAGCGAAGAAAGATCGTCGACCGACAATTCATCGGGTAGCGGAAGTCTTGTCGTTATCATATGGATATACCCACCAGGCTATCATAACCGAGAAACTATAGCTGAGTCGGGTTTGTGTGTCAGGTTCTTCGTGACCTGCTCGACGAACAGCGTCCAAAACGAGTCCAGGGGCCAGTTTCTCGCCTCTGCTGAACTTAAACCTAACAAAGTCTTCTGGATCGAGACACTGCAGACGAACACATCTTTCAGCGCATCGTTACAGTGGATGAAAAATGCGTTTATCAATATGAACGGAGACAAAGCAACGGTGATTTGTATGGAAGCACTCCTCATCCCCACCACCCACGAAATTTCGTTCTATGCAGTCTGTTGGGAAGGTGATGCTCATTGCGGTTTTTTTTTGGTGCACATGGGCTCATCCTTCTACACTGGATGCCAAAAGGGACAATTGTAATTGCAAAATACTACACGATAGTGCTGCACACAAATCTTTGTAAGGAAATTCGCAAGAAGCGACCACCCGCACCTCTCATTCGTCAGATCTTTCTCCTAGCAATTTCTGGTAATTCCCTCGCATGAAATCGTAATTGCGCCGCCGTCGGTCACAAGATCAAACCAAGGTGAAGAAGATCGCTACAGCTGCAGCGGACCTTGTCGCAGAAAATTGCCTCCTCCCTGCATTCCAGTCTTGGGTGGACCGTGCGCAGAAGTGCGCAGCATGTGAAGGGCGTTACTTTCAAAAGAAAATAGTCACGAATGACATTGCTTTATATGGTACAAAGTCATGGCATTGGAGCACGAACTCTTTCATCCTCGCAAAAAAAAACTTTGAATTAAATAAATTAAATGGATGTGTTTTCTTAAAGCAACGAAATCTGACTGATGTATCACAGGAGAGGATGGGGAACTTTGAATCTTATCTGTGTTTTGTCTCCATGCCGCAGGCGTACGAGGTATAATACACAATATTGACAGTGCCTGTGCATACTATTTCCAGAATTTCTTATTAGGATCAATTAAGGGAAGAAAATTGCCAAGAGAGACCAAATCACTCACGTGTTTAATTCCACTATTTTCTACATTAGGTGTTAGGTGTATGGTTAAAAACAATTTATAGTTTTTCTACGGGACATTCCGCTTAGAATTGGCCCGGCGAAAGATGAATACTAGCAGCTCATGTAGAATATAGCATCTTCCACTCCACTGCACGTCGTATCCTAAACGAACGATGCTAGTTATCCGAGTATCGCGGACGCCAGAACTTGAGGTAAGGAGTGGAAGGAAGCACCGAACGAGTCATCGACTCGTCCCACGTGTTTCCGTCGTGCATTGTCAAACATTAACATCATTGCACTTCTTCTGTTCATTGTTCCGGGCCAATTCTAGGCGGAACACCGTGTACTTTTGCGATCGAATTTGACGTTAAATATGCCATTCTGTCCAAGCCTCGAGAAACTCATTTCAGGAAAGTGCAGCGAAAGGTTGTGGTCTTAGAAGCACTCGGGAGAAAACTACAGGTGAAACATTTTCTCAGTTGCCTCACATGATCATCCAGGCCTATATGTAGTAATTACAATACATGTGCTCAAAGGCGTAGCGTAAATGGAAAGAAGAAACGGAGGGCCGCGGAAACTCTGATACACTGTTCTCTTGTATTTCATGCGTCTTTTCCTTCTTACTTATGCTTTTTTGTTTGAAAGTGGGAGAGGGAGGGGGACACGTGCCAAATCTGCCCCCCCCCCCCCCCTCACTCCCCCTTCCCCGACGCTACGCTGTTGCATATGCCTGATCGGAAGGAAATGGACTCCTAACTAAATGACAGGGAAAACCAGGTGATACTGACTGCTTTGAAAAAGAAAAACAGGGAAGTAGTCCAATGCCCCCAGTTGGTGGGCAACATTGGGAAAGTACTGAAAAACTTCCCCGTAGATCCCCCGTATGGTACAATTGGACCTTCTTTTTTGCGGGAAACGGCGATTGCATTCGTTTCACAAGGATATTTTCGGGACTTCCTCTTTATCTTACGTTCCTCGACGATCTTCCTGCTAAGATTATTTTTAAAAAACCTGCACAAATTTTACTAATGTACGGGGGTGGTTCAAGTCATTCGTGGACTTTATTTTTTGGAGCATTTATTTGCAATGCAATAACTCAAACTCTGGCTACTTCTGCACATGATTGCCCTCTACAGCGCAGCATTTTTCTCAACGCTGTACTAGTGCTTGAATGCTCTTAGCATAGAAAGGCCTGTCTCGCTGTTTGAAACATTTTAAGACGCGCTCTTTCACAGTTTTGTCAGATTCAAATCGCTGTTCTCCTAGGGCCCAAACAGATGGAAATCGCTCAGAACTAAATTGGGTTGTATGACGGGTGTGTGAGAGACTCCCAGCCAAGGCTGGCCAATTTTGCCGCGGTTTTACGGGCTGTGTCGAGCGTTCTCTTGCAGAAAGAAGACTCCACGAGAGAGAGATCGGGCCTTTTTTTGCCGGAACAGCTTGTAGGACGTTGC